TGCTTTGGATCCAAAGAAGAATATGTAGATTCAAAATTCGTGAATCAAAGTAAATTGATAAATGGATATAAATCGGAAATTTGTTCATTAAATGTGAAACCACGACTTTTATTAAAGCAAAATAAGTTTTGTATGTCTTCATTGTGGAATAAATTTAAATCTAATCTTAACCCAAAAGCAACAGATGAAAATATTTCACAAGTAACGACGTTACGTGTAGTCCCATTGCCGGATTTTGCAGTTTATCCAACAAATGCGACAAACAGAACAAATAATTACTTTATTATTTTTTTTAAACTTATAAAACTCATAATTAAGCCAAGAGGTTATTTGACTCGTAACAAAATGAAATTTAGCCCTTTTCTAAAATTTATAAGAAAAAATGAGAGTGCACATTTATATGAATTATATGATAATCCAGCAATGGAAGCATGCATTGATTTTAAATGGGGGGCAGCGAAAAATAATTTTTTACGTCATCTTGCATTATTCTTGACCTTTTCGTCAGTGTTTGCAATGTCTACTGGAATTCTCAAGACTGATATACATGATTTTTATTATTATCTCAATACGATTTTATTATTTTTTTATCTTGGATATTATCTTTTAGCGATGGAAGTAGTACAATTAAATCACAAGAGACTTAAATATTTTTGCATATATAATTCTCTTGACCTCGCATCAATTATTTTTGCAGTAGTTACGATGATATTCAAATGGACCGTCTACATCGATAAGAAATCGGTCGTTATTACGGAAGCGTTTGCGGTCCTACTTTTATGGTTTGAACTTGTTAGTAAAAAACTTTTTTTAATCATCAATGATATTAATATCTTAATTTATATTTCTAGTTATTCCTGACGCGATACTTTGAAAGTAAATATCTTTATTATATTCTTTTATTTATAATTTCATTTTCGTATCAACAACTTAATATTTTTGTTTATAGCTACTGCAACTTATCTTAACATGATTTTAAAAATTTTAAAAGCTATTTATCCATTCCTAATTTTTATGGTAAACTTTTCATTATAAGTGGAAGCATTATTATGATTTATTAATTAATTCACATTTAAAAATATTTTGTAGTTAATTGTGGTCATTGCTTTCGGTCATGCAATGGTATGGCTTACTTTTTTTATATCATGAGATTAATCTATTTTTTTCTTTTCATTTAATTATAAATTCAAATTTTAGCATATTTTATTGGAGTATCCTAAATATATTGACCAGGTACCTAATGGCGATACATATAACATCACATCATCATCTATTCCAGGCTTAGTAAACACGAAAATTGAACAAGTCTTTGAACTAGATAAACCTATTGAGAATTATTATAGTAAATTTATAACTTCTGTCATTGGAGCTTATTTTTGGGTTCTTGGAAGATGGGATCAATTAGAAGAATGGGATTTCTGGCCAATTTATGTAATCAGTATAGGTAGATATTTCATATCTAATATTATCGTGCTGATGATGATATTAAAGATTTGAATAACTTTTTTTCTTATTTTAGGCGCAAGTATTTTAATGGTCATCATCATGCAGAATTTGCTGATCGCATTTATGACGGGTGTATATGAAAATGCAAAACACAATGTAAAGTTATCGGTATTAGGTTATAGAGCTGATTTGATCGCTGATTATGAAACGTTAGACAAACCATTTGGTAGTCATAGAGGGAATCCAAGATATATTTATTATGTTGGAAGTTCTGAATATCAAGACGAATGGATGGATAAAGCTGAAAAATATAGGAAAACTCATAAGTCATTATTATTCGAAGTATCAAATGTAGATGATTCGGGTGATGAATTCGTTACTAATGAAAAACTTAATGAAAAACTTGATGAAAAATATTTGAAATTACAAGATGAGTTAGCGAGTATTAAAAAGCTCTTATTGTCCATTAAGGATAAATGAGCTATGTATACTTATTGTTTTTCCTCATAATAAAAAATAAAATTATTATATTTTCATGTAATATATTTCGGGTCATTGGGCGTTTTTCATATGCTATTTCTAATGGTAAATTCCTTATAAATTTATTCAAATTATAAAACTTTAAAAAAAAAATTCGATTCAGCCTAGTAACCTTGAACGGTTGATTATTATAACTTTTATCTTGAAAATACAAATATAAATCAAATAAAAAAGATATCTATAAAGTAATATATTAAAGTACGATTCAAAATAAATTAAAGATAATGGACATAGGAAAGACAATAAATAAAAAAGATGTATTATTAAAATTCTGGTTGCGTAATAATTATTTCATTAAAAAAGAAAATTTATAAAAAGTTTTGAAGATCCGAAATTTTGGTAAAAAAAATTCGTATGTAGACGTTGGTTTGGAGAATGGTGATAAGGAAAGAATATTTGGTAAGTAGCGATCAGGTCGACTCGAGTTTTGAACCAATCTTTACACAAAGTTTTTAAATCCAGTAAGAAGACGATATAATTGATCGACCAATAAAAATCGTGAATTTTGATAATGATACACATGATTTAAAGATCACAATTACAAAATCCTGAGTTAAATAGATTAATCAAGAGATGTAGTCATAATAATATTTCCAGAGCGAAGCAAAGGACTATATAATGCTACTTCGGCAGTGTTGGTAAAAGACCTTAAAAGACCTCAAAATGACCTCACTTTTATTATAAATTTCAAGTCAAAAGCATCAAGCTAATTTGAAAAAAAAAAATAGTAAATGACATTAGCCAAGAGACTTAGCAAAAGTCATAGGAAGGATTTCATGTGATTTGCTGATAAATTACACAAATTTATAATTGCATTGTAGGTTTTTATGTATGTCACTTGATATTATTGTGCGTAATATCAACCTATATTAAAAGTTTTAATCTTAATTTTAATAAACTTATTAACTATAATAAAAGATTAAAAAAATAATTATAATATACATATATTTTTTACATTTTTTGAATTTATTATTTATACATATTATAGTAATTGAAATTATTGCAATGCCTGTTCTAATGTAAAAGCTACATAATCTACAGATTCAGTTTCATACAAAAATAATGATCTGTATAAATCACCTACAGTTTAGTAAATGGCTACCTACGAGATTTTTGTCATATGACACGTAATGGTTCTTTACGTAAAAAATTTTTTGACTTTACTAAGGAAGTCGATCAGAAGACCTCGTAGCGCATCATCCCCACTGTGGCTGAAGTGATCATTTTTAAAATTTAAAATTTCATCTAATGATGACTAAAAATGTGTGATCACATGATTCATCTCAGTTATGTGTCACATAATGTCACTCAAAAAATTTTTATTTTGTCGTTCGTTTAGCCCTTAGATATGTATTTTTGTTCTGTAAGTAGAAATGATATTTATCGTTTTCTATATTACTTTTTAAAATTCGTTAATAACTAATATTTATAAACTGAAACCTGGGAATGACTTATTAGGTTTTTTAACTAGGCAGTGATTAATAAACACCAAAGATAAAGATAAGAGAACAGCCATGGATGAATATGTAAGAATTTAGGGTGACCATGAGAACAACATGTTTGTTGATAATGCATCACAAAGGAAGAAAATATTGAATACTGACCATCCAGAAAAAAAGGAGTTAGAACTCTTAATGATAGTTGTTTGTTTAAGTTATGTAACGTTGAGACGCTACTTTTTTTTTCCGAATATCAAACGTTATAAAATCAACCTACAGATGTCAACTGTTAAAACTATTATTGTGTTCGGTGAATGATAAAATTCCTGATAAAGCTGTTTCAGTTATATTGATAACAATAAGAACGTTTATAATCTTCAGAAAGATATCAAGATGGAAATCGACAACAAATTTTGAGTAAATGAATGAACCAAAGATTGAAGGTCTAAATTCCACTCAATGGGAAAAAATCTTGACCGTGGTCAATGAAATGTAATATCGATAATGAGGAATAGCATGACATTAAAAACTATAACATATACAACAAAAAGCCGCTTAAAGGGCACATTCAAATCATTGCAGAGCTAAATCCAATTCGCGAGTTGATGTGTATATATATGGCCTTGAGTCTGGATGGTATCAATAATATCCCGCTATACATCACACAACCAACAAAATCTAAAGCTTGGAATCTATAATGTTTCGTATACATTTCAAATATATTCCAATATCACACTCGTATCGTATATGGAATGAATTTTATATATGACCGGAATATTTAGTAATAGTTCAGAGGAGACTCGATTACGCAACCAAGGTAAGAGAAGATATTTTTTCCTGCTTACATTCCGAAGAACATCTCTCAAAGCAGTAAATTATGAATTTTCCGACGCTTATGATAAAGAAACCGTGTAAGATTAACTACTATTACGTATGTGTTGTTAAGCGGGATTGTGTGTAGTATTGGGGTTATCAAAGGACAAAGTATATCGTTATAAAAAAATGTCTACAGTTATTAATAGGAACGTCATGTATTACGAGCTCGTTCCCGAACTTTTTAATTTTTTTATATAACTAGGGCGACCTGATACCCGATTCAAATGAGTTAAAACATTGTCATCATCGAAAATGAGCGTTATTGCGTCTGCGATGATTATGACAAAAGAAATTTAACGAACAGAAAATAGGTTGGTTTATTGTGTAATATTAAAGTCTCTATGGGACGGTCGAGCTGATCTCCCATGATGACGATTTAGGTTGTGTAGAAGACTTCCGAATGAACGAGCTGAAATATTGGCGCCATTAGCGGCGGTTGTATTGCATGAAAATAATATAAAATAAAATAATTCCCCATCAATAGCGTCATCCACCCGAACTTTATTCCCGAATTTGGTACCAAATTCAATCTCGCAAAAGAAATAGTTACTCACTGCATATGATCTCTTAGCCGGTGTTTAACTACGAAAATGTCCGACGATCAAAACTGCGGCTAAACTCGTACTGCGTCAAATGAAGTGAATAGCATTTTTTTTTATTTTATTTCTAGCATTTATATTGTATATATTATTTGTATGATTTATTATTGCGAAAATGCGCAGTATAAACATTAGTATATATACACTGAAAAATTATTTACAAAAAAAGATTCCGATTGTTGTAAAATCTTGGTGATAGACTTACGGACTTCTAAAATAATAAAATCATAATTAAACTTTCAACCTTCCTTTTGTCTTCATATAAACTCCGCTTGTGTACACAACTGTATCATAAAAATATAGAGGTATTAGTGATATAATTCCAGGACAAAGGACTCTGGAATATTGCATTGCATGCATGGTTCATTGCATGCATGGTTCGTTACCTTGGTTTCGGTACATCTCCAGGAGTAACACCGATAATGATTTATTTCTATATGCTAAGTTAGAGAGCCAGAGACTTGCGATACCGATTAACTGCGGAAAATCATAATTATAAATGCTCTGGATGAATCGGAGACATTCTAGTAAGAAACTCAAAAATAATTCTTGATCAATTCTTAATTAAACAATTCACAATCT